GCCGAGGTGGGCGGATCACAACGTCAAGAGATTGAGACCATCCTGGCCAACAAGCTGAAACCGTGTCTCTACTAAAAACGCAAAAATTAGCCAGGTGTGGTGGCGTGTGCCTGTAATCCCAGCTACTCAGGAGGCTGAGGCAGGAGAATCACTTGAACCCAGGAGGCGGAGGTTGGAGTGAGCCAAGGTCACTCTACTGCACTCCAGCCTGGAAACAGAGTGAGATTCCATTAAAAAAAAAAAAAAAGATTTATTTTAGTTTAGATATCCTTTTTATGCAGAGAACACTAGCTAATCAAATCATGCAGAAGAAAAAACACAATCACCACACAAACATATGGAAATGTACTAGGTATTCTAAAAAAACCAAAAACTGGAGTGAAGAGGTTGAAAGGGACTTGGATAAACCAAAGCACACATTCTATGTTCTAGAATGGAAAGACATGCTATTGTTAAGATGTTTTGATTCTCCCTCAAAGTAATCTACAAATTTAATGTGATGCCAACTCAAATCTCAAATCTATTCCTTCTAAGTCTTGACAAAAGAAAATCAAAGTGCTTCTAGAAGATTAAACATTTAAAACCAGGCAATAACATTTTAAAGAAATAGATTAAAAGTCTGGGATGGAGCTGGGGACAGAACTCGTCCGACCAGTTATAAAAACAGATTATAAAGTCAAGGTATTTTAAGTGGTATTGTTCTGGAATATTAATAAACAGACACATGAATGTTGAATGAATATGAATTAAAAGTACAGAAATAGACAAACAGGCATTACTATCTGTGTGCACACGTGTGCATGCAATGGTAACATTGGCAGAGTTACCATAACCAAGAAGTTATTGAGGTTGCATAATCTTAGAAAGGAAAAAATCTTTTAAGCATGGTGCTAAGGTAAGATTACAAAGAGAAACACTGGTAAATATGAATATATAAAAATTAAACAGTTATCTGTTTTTTTGACAAGAATTAAAAGACAACAATGCAGGGAATATATTTGCCCAATACAAGTCAAACGATTCAAAACCGTAATACATAAAGAACACTTATAAATCATTAAGATAAATATTTAAATCTAAAACTGGGTAGAGAATATATATGGACAAAACACAGAATAAGATAAAATACAAATGGTGGGCTGGACATGGTGGCTCACGCCTGTAATCCCAGCACTTTGGGAGGCCAAGATGGGCGGATCATGAGGCTCAGGAGATGGAGATTGTCCTGGCCAACATGGTGAAACCCTGTCTCTACTAAAAATACAAAAATTAGCCAGGTGTGGTGGCATGTGCCTGTAGTCCCAGCGCTCAAGAGGCTGAGGCAGGAGAATCGCTTGAACCCAGGAGGTGGAAGCTGCAGTCAGCCACGATCTCGCCACTGCACTCCAGCCTGGCAACAGAACAAGACTCCATCTCTCTTTTTTAATCTCTCTCTTTCTCTCTCTCTAATATATTAGAGAGAGAGAGAGAGAGAGAGAGAGAGAGAGATATATGTAGATAGATAGATGGTGCATAAACATAAATTTTGTGACATAATTACATTTATGTATAAATATATATAAGCTTATGTATACGCAATTACAAATGAATAAAAAGTTTAATCTTACTAGTATTCAAAGAAATTCGAATTAAACAATAAAGTCATCTTATATCTTTCAAACTGGCATGGATTAAAAAGGATAACAACTTTCAGTGCTGGCAAAGGTGTAGGAAGAAGAGGATTCTCATATATTGGGAGTATAAATGGATAGACTTTCCTAAAAGGCAGTATGTCAATATGCATCAAATAATCTAAAGATACATTTATTTTTATCATGTACGTCTAATTTTAGGAGCTGTAAAAAGAATTAATTTGTATAAGAATGATGACCATCTTCCTAATTGCAAAAAGCAAAGAGTTGGTTAAATAAACAATGTTACATTCATACATAGAGAGTAGTCACTACCAATAAAGTTGTAGAATATTTTAAAACGTGCTGAGCACAGTGACTCACGCCTGTACTCCCAGCAATTTGGGAGGCCAAGGCAGGCAGATCACCCGAGGTCAGGAGTTTGAGACCAGCCTGGCCAACACAGTGAAACCCCATCTCTACTAAAAATACAAAAGTTAGCAGGGCGTGGTGGCACATGCCTGTAGGCCCAGCTACTTGGGAGGCTGAGGCAAAAGAATTGCTTGAACCTGGGAGGCAGAGGTTGCAGTGAGCTGAGGTTGTGCCACTGCACTCCAGTCTGGGCAACAGAGCGAGATTCTGTCTCACAATAAACAAATAAAATATGGAACAATGTGATCAGTCAAAAAATAAATCACAGGCAGGATGAAGAGAACAGCACATTTTAAATACATTAAATATATAGGTACACACACACACATTACGTACAGAAAAGACTGGAAGGACACAATCATCTGGGTGGTAGGATTATGAAGAGTTTTGTTTTTTGCATTTCTACAGTAAATGTATAATTTTTATAATATGAAAGGAGTGTACTTTTTATGTATTGTATAGGTTTTGTCTCATTTGATATTCTGTGAAGAACTCAAGGTAGGTCATGTCCACACTCTACAGCTGTACAGTATTAGTCTGTTCTTGCATTGCTAGAAGAACATACCTGAGACTGGGTAATTTATAAAGATGTTTAATTGGCTCATGGTTCCACAGTTTGTACAGGAAGCATGATGCCAGCATCTGCTCAACTTCTTGGGAGGTTTCAGGAAACTTGCAATCATGGTGGAAAGCGAAGGGGGAGCCAGAAAGTCACGTGGCCACAGCAGGCGCAAGAGAAACAGCACGGAAGGGAGGGGCCGCACTCTTTTAAACAACCAGTTCTCCTGAGAACTCACGCCCTTACTACCACGCGAACAGCACCGAGAGAGGGTGGTGCTGACCACTCCCGAGAATCTGCCCCTATGATCCAGTCACCTCCCAGCAGTCTCCACCTCCAACACCTGGGGATTACAACCGAACATGAGATTTGGGCGGGGACACAGATCCGAACCATATCAATGGGAAAGGGAAGCAAAGAAGAGAAAGAGGGTGACGTGTGCTAAGTCACATAACCAGGAGGTGGACAAGCCACGGCACTGATCCTGGATTGCTGACTCCAAATCCAGTGCTGCATATGCTGCAAGCATCAAGCAAGTAAACACACTGGTTTGTAGCTCTGAGATTTCTGGCCTCGTATGAGCCAGGGCAGAGAGATACCTAGGATCAGCCTCTGAAGTAAGGTAAATATTGATGATCTACCTTACCACGGAGTGCCGTCAACCGCACAGATGCATGTGAGAGGACATGTCTGTGGTATATGATGTTCTTTTTATGTATCTGTGGAGGTACAGAAGGCGGTAGGACACAGAGGAGACCAAATCTCCCTTTCCCATCCTTCCATGCAATCTGTGATGTGGGAAAACAGGGTCTGAGATTAAAACTAGGAGGGGTCATTCCTTCAATCCTGGCACTGTGTGGGCTTTCTTTTTGGTGTGAATCTCCAGGAACTGTGGTCTCCCTTCATCCAGTCACTCTGCATCCCCCACACAGGGCCCGGCATCGGAAAATGAGGGTCCAAGAAAAAAAGTGGCCAGTTCCTGGTAGGTCACCAGATTTTGCTACACTCATGGCACACAGTATTTAGGAATAAAGACGCTGGCCAAATTATGTATACAAGATGGGGAATCACCCTTTCCGATGGAGATGGGGTTGCAGGTTGTGCCAATTCTCAAACATAAGGAGGTCTACACCATACCGAGGATACTTCTGTGCACAGCATGTGGGGATGAAATCTGATCAATGTTCTCTAGGCCACATTCAATAGACAATAACAAGATGACGCTCTAACAGTGCATTTTTGTAACTCAGTGGGTGCTTCAGCATCGAAACTGTGCCAACTGACACTGGTCCTGCTGGCCTTTGCAGGTAAGGATGCAGAGAGCAGCAGGATTCCCAGCGGCTGCCTCCAAGCAGGCATGGTCCCACAGCAGAAAAGCTTCTGGTAATTCAGCAATCGCTTCTCAGAATCATAGCACAGGTAGAGCAGGCGGAGGGCAACTGTGCAGGGACACGACTCTGAGAGGAAGCCTGCCACGGCTTCCAAGACAAAGAAACAAAGGCCCATGTCCCCCTACCCAGCAGGCACGGTCCTATCCGGTATATTCACACCAGAATGCAATCATACACACTGCAATTGCTGTCACAGCCAGATGTACACACCACAGCACCATGAGCTAAGTTACCTTAAAATGATAGTTCTAGCCAACAAACAATTGGTTCATCTTCTACAGCAAGCTCATCCAACCCACCAGGCTGCATGCAGCCCAGGACGGTTTTCAATGTGGCCCAAAACAAATTCATAAATGTTCTTAAAACATTATGAGATGCTTTTTTGGAACTTTTTGGGTTTTCTTGGCTCATCAGCTATCGCTGGTGTTAGTGTATTTTATGTGTGGCCCAAGGTAATTCTTCTTCTACTGTGGCCCGGGAAGCCAAAAGGTTGAATACCTCTGTTCTGCAACTGTACACAGTACACTGTTTATAATCTTCCTACATTTGAAAGAAAATTCTTTTAAACTGAAAAATGAGAACTGTATTGTTTTGATATATTGGTCATCCAGCATACCATGTAACTCGGCACTTAAAACTGACTTGCAAATTAATTTTTTTAAATTCCATACAAATAAGAATCAATGCAACAAATGCTAAAATATAATCGTCACTAAGGATATTTATTCCAAAACAGCACTACATTATGATCCTTAAAAATATACTATTAGTAGCTGTACAAGTAGAACGAGTTTTAATTGTACTACTTATATATCAGTAAGCTAATTGTCAGCTAATTTCTAGAAATAAATCAGCTTACCCTAAATACCTTAAACAACTAGAAAACATTAGAATGAACTGAAAGCATACATGAGAACCTAAGAATACAATAAAATTCTTTTAAAAATTGCTCTCGTGCAAAATCAAATCCTATGACCTTTATGAAAGGGTCTGCATTTCATTACTCACCAACTGGCAGCCTTCTAGAGAGTTGACTAGCTGAGCATTCTGACAAGAGAGAATCGAACCAGCCAAATTCAGCATTACACACACTGCAGAAAGCAGCATGAAAAAGGTTATCTGGAAAGAAACCACACAAAAAATTGATTATTCACTTGGAGAGGCTCAAAGGAAAAATGACTCAGCTTTACAATGAGTTTACAGCTTTCATTTATTATATAACAGTTGGTCACATAATTACATGAATAACATATATGTGTTTTAAAGCAAAGTGGTAGGTTATTTCTCAAACTTCCAAATTAACATGATCTGAAATAGAAAAAGTAAGATCTGTAGGAAGCCACAGTGAGCTACTATTATTTTGTTTGAAACCTATTATGATGAAATATTTAAAGAGTTAAACTTGGAAGATTATACATTACATACCCTTACAGTAACAAGTTATACATTATTAAAGGAAATTAAGTGAAAGAAGTCTATTTATTAGAAGGCCTCTGTGTTTTAATTTTTATTACAGAAAATTTCATAAACATGCAAAACCAAAGAAAACAGTATAATGTGCCCATCATCCAATGTCAATAATCAGTCCACTTACAACTGTGTTTCATTTACAGCCCCTACCACCCAGATTATTATGCAGCTAATACCAGACATCGTATAATTTTACCCTTAAAAATTTTTAAAGGAACTGAGAAGCTTTCTGAAAACACAGACAAAATAGTCATCACATCTATAATAAATAAACATTCATTAATATCATCAGATACTGAGTTCACATTTCCCCAACTGTCTCAATTTTTTCACACTTTGAATCAGGCCACACAGGACGCAAAGAGGGTCCATGTGGCACAACTGGCTGTGAGGAATCTTAGGTAGTCTGTGCATTTCCCATCCATGTTTTTTTTCCTCCACGAAATTTCTTGAAGAAACCAGTTCTTTGTCCTATAGAGTTTCCTACAGCCTACACTTTCGGATTGTCGCCCTATCATTTAACGTTTCTCTGGCCTCTGTATTTCCTGTAATTTGGTGATTAAACACAGAGGTCTGACCAAATTCAGATCAATAAACGGCAAATATTTCTCTTTTTGTGATGTTGGTGGCCATTTTTAATGATGACTTAGACTCATTAATTTATTGGGATTTCCCAACAGTGCTAGTCTCACTCTGTCATTTTTTCTTTATGAATAAGAATACATATAGAGACAGAGACTGGTGCTATTTTCATCCCACTAACAATGTATGAGAATGATAAGATCTTATCTTTCTGTTAATGTCTTTAAAATGTTTTGGCTAAATTAAATTTGGGAAAAAACTGATATTACCATTCTCTACCGTAACTATAATATCTACACCCCAGATGTAAATTTATTTTCCTTAAAATATATATGGGAGACACAATTCAAAAGAGGATATTTTGTTCATTTAGGAAATATTTCAAGCTCATAATGTTAGCAGTATCTCAGCAATGGTTTTAATAACTGCAGAGTCTTATGGCATCCCATGGGAAAGTTAGGTCACATAAAAAGGGCCAACTTAAATTTTTCCTATTAAAAGTTACAACAGTTCCATAATATCATTCAAATGGTGTGTAAATAAACTGGCCTACACAGCTTTGAAATGGAGGTCAAAAAATAATTGCTGAAAACATTACGAAAGCAAACCTATACAGAAGCCAAGAAGAGACTAGCTTGAGACTTAGGAGGTGCTGAACAACACAGATGTTGCTGGATGTCAAGGAGGTAAGAGACAATAAGATCTTTTTGCATGCTTTTTTGTTTTGTTTTGTTTTTGAGACAGAGTCTCACTCTGTTGCCAGGCTGGAGTGCAGTGGTGCGATCTTGGCTCACTGCAACTTCTGCCTCCCAGGTTGAAGTGATTCTCCTGCCTCAGCCTACCGAGTAGCTAGGACTACAGGCACGCGTCACCAGGCCCAGCTAATTTTTGTATTTTTAGTAGAGATGGGGTTTCACCATGTTGGCCAGGATGGTCTCAATCTCTTGACCTCGTGATCCACCTGCCTCGGCCTCCCAAAGTGCTGGGACTACAGGTGTGAGCCACCACGCCTGGCCCACTGTTTTTTTTTTAATTGTGGTAAAATATCCATAATAAAAATGTACTTGCATTTTCTAATTTTTATTTTTTAAGAGATGGTGTCTTGCTATGTTGCCCAGGCTGGAGTGCAGTGGCTATTCACAGGCAGGATCGCACTGCTTACCAGCACGGGAGTTTTGACCTGCTCCATTTCCAACCTGGGCTGGTTCACCCCCCTTAGGAAACCTGGTGGTCCCTCGCTCCCGGGAGGTCACCATATTGATGCCGAATTTAGTGCGGACACCCGGTTGGCATAGTGCACTACAGCCCAGAACTCCTGGGCTCAAGCGATCCTCTCACCTCAGCCTCCCGAGAAGCTGGGACTACAGGCACAAGCCTCCGCGCCCGGCTCTAGTTTGTTTTTTAAACTGTGGCAAAATATAGATAACATGAAGTTTCCCTTTATTACCATTTTTACTTGTGCAGTTTAGTGGCATTAAGTATGTTCGCATTGTTGTGGAAGGATCATCACTATCCATTTCCAGAGAATGTTTGTCTTAAACTGAAACTCCATACCCATTAAACAATTCCTCAAACTCCCTCCTCTTAGCCCCTGGCAATCACCACCATTCTAGTTTCTGTCTCTTGAAATTTGACTACTCTAGATATGTGACAGACGGGGAATCATACAGTACTTTTCCTTTTGTGACTGGCTAATTTCACTTATAGCATAATGTCTTCAAGATTTATCCATGTTGTAGCAGGTGTCAGGATTTCCTTCCTTCTCAAAGCTGAATATTCCATTGTTCTAGAAATTGGTCCTGCCAATGAAACAACTTTTTTGAGTAGGCAAGAACTTTGAATCAACTATTTCATAACTCTGGAAGCTGGATGAACTGCAGCATCCAGAGGGGTAATCCATGAAGAAAGAGGCTGGCATTCAAGGAAATCTCCATCAGGTCACTGGCTGACCATGGATATAATGGAACAGAGACTTTCGTGATCACACGCAATAAGGACTACCATCTGCTCAACGTTAGTTTGGAAAAGTCACTGGTTGGCGACAGCTCTCAAAAAGCAGTATCAGACATTACTGAGGGAAGATAATCTGATTTCCAGAGTTATCACGTTACAATATTCAAAATGTCAAGTTCTCAAAGATTTCCTCCTTAACCAATCTCTAGCCCGGTTCCTCTGAGCCCTCTTCTCCCCTAGGGCTCTACCCTGGCCTATGAAAACTTGAACAAAATATCAACACAGATTCTAACAGCTCAAGGCCACATCCCTAGGATGGCCCTAGCTCCCGCTAAAGTGCCCGCCTGAGAAAATTCAAGGCTGCCGAGTTTACTGTTAGTTCCAGCCAACACCTGAAGACACCTTGTGTCTGGGCTTCTGTGGGAAGGTAGGAGGCTGACTTTGATAAGCACCAGCTAACAACCCCAGATGGGTTTCACATGGTCAAATCCCTACTTTCTACTTCTGGCAATTTTTCACTTGTTCTAGAAAATACAAGTGAACAAAACCAATTTCAAAAGAAGGAAAACCTGCACATAAGCTTGAGAAAAATATCCGTAAAAATCTACCCACAAGAAACACTAGGCCCACAGACTTTCACAGGTAGATTTGTTCCAAACTTTCAAGACCATCTAATCTTTGGATAATAGGGCAAAAAGCCAGTTTCCCAAAGCGTTTATAAGACCAGAAGGCTTTCTATTTCCGGAACAATTCAGTGCAATAGCTGTTAAGTGGGACAGAGCAAGGTACGTGTCCTGGAGGGTCAAAGGCACCCATGGGGTTAGAGCTCTCGCACTGTGTGGAGGGTGACTGCACAGACAGGCAGTTATGTGGGACACGAGCCCGGGTGGGAAGCTAAGGGCACCCATGAGGGATGGTGTGGCAGCTAGGCTAGTGGATCGGTTATTTACAAGAGGAATTAATCAAATAAGTAAATATGGTAAAGATGATAGGTGCTGAGTTCCTGAAATCAGAATAAACATGGTGGCGTTGTATTGCAAATGGCAGTGTAATGTAATCTCATAGTCTTCAGTGCTATAGATAACTGATAGGTAGATACCCTGTAACTTCATCACCTGGAGGGCTGGGAGCAGTGGTATTTCCAATAGGCATGAACAAACCTAGCAACCTTGTTTCTAAATTCCATTCTCCACTAAAAGACAACAGAACTCTTTAGGGAAAGGATTAATTCCAGGCCTAGAGTTAAAGACTGAACTCCCTGCCAGGTGAGGTGGCTCACGCCTGTAATCCCAGCACTTTGAAAGGCTGAGACGGGTGGATCACAGGGTCAGGAGATCCAGACTATCCAGGCTAACACAGTGAAACCCTGTCTCTACTAAAAAGACAAAATATTAGACGGGCATGGTGGTGTAATTTTGAGATTATCTCTAAATAAATTAGCACAACTTCAAAATAATAACATAGGAAAATTAAAGACTAACCCCCCTTATATCAAAAGATGCAAAAGATTTTGAGCTGAATGTATTTTAAAATTTTATCAACAAGTTCTTGTCTCCAAAATGCAAAAACCTTTAGATATAGAAAATCTACGTTATTACACCAAATTATATGCCCCAAAAACAAAATTATAGAGTAAATAAGAAATTTTAATCATATTAGCAGGTGAATAAAGAGCACATGATAAATCCAAAGTCATTCATAGTTTTTCTAAACATCCCTAAGCAAGTTAGGACTAGACGGGGTAATTAAATAACCCAATAAAAGGTTATTTGTGGGGGAAAATACTCTAACAGCAAACATCACACTTTATGGCAAAACTTAAAAATTATTTCTTTTAAAATCAAGAATATGGAATCAAGAACATTCTTAGAGTCTGCTATAACTGCTTCTTTTCAATAATATATTGCATTTCCAGCCAATACAGAAAAGACCAAAATAAAAGGCATTAAGAATTTAAAAAGACGACAGACATAATGATGCTAAAGAATTATAAGAGCATGGTATCTGTAATGAATAGCAAACAAACCATTTCGGTCCTAGTCATAAATTTATCTATACATGAGATATTGCTATAGAGTAGTGAGTGTGTCAAAAATCAGTGTGTTAAGCATAAATGATGAAACATTGGTGCTAGGCTATCCATATAGAAAAAATACAAAAATTATTTCCATACCTCACATCATATACAAAGAAGATTAAAAGTATAAAATGTGACGATGAAAATTTTAAACACTTAGGGAAAAAACGTAGAAAACACCTTTACAATTTTAGGATTGGGGGATTTTTTTTAAGCACTGTACATGAATATAGCTCTTATAAACACTGATGATTGTTACACATTAAAGTCAAATGATCTGTATGACTAAAAGAAGTGAAAACGTGGGAGAAGCCATTTGCACTAGATAGATCTAGCAGACGATGAAGGACATGCGGACCATATAAAGACGACTTAACGAATCCATAGAAATAGGTCTGACATAAAACTTGTCAAAAAAAGAGTGAGGGCAAAAGATAGGCAGACACTTAACATCACTAATAAGCAACAGGTACAAGTTAATACCATAGTAAATTATCACTTCACACTGCACCAGAATGGCTGAGAGGATACTGAAAAGGCCAAGTGTTCACAAGGGGTGAAGGTGGAAGGGCTGGCAAACAAAAACAAAACAAAACTGTATAAAATGTTGGTGGGAGGCCGGGCGCCGTGGCTCATGCCTGTAATCCCAGCACTTTGGGAGGCTGAGGCGGGCGGATCACGAGGTCAGGAGTTCAAGACCAGACTGGCCAACATAGTGAAACCCATCTCTACTAAAAAATACAAAAATTAGCTGGGCATGGTAGCTTGTGCCTGTAATCCCAGCTACTTGGGAGGCTGAGGTAGGAGAATTGCTTGAGCCAAGACCCAGGAGGTGGAGGCTGCAGTGAGCTGAGATTGTGCCACTGCACTCCAAACTGGGCTACGGAATGAGACTCCATCTCAACAAACAAACAAAAAAAACGTTGGTGGGAGTGTAACTTGACACAAGCTCAAAAACAGCTTGGCAATAGTCCCTGACTGCTCCATTTGATTCTGGCTAGAGAAACTCACACATGTGCCTAAAAAGGCACTGTCCAATACCTGCAAATCTCAAAGAACTGGAAATGAGTGAATCAAATCTACATACATCCACATGGTTGAATCTCAAATACGTAATGGTGCATGATAACAGCAAGTTGCATAAGGACACAGCTAACACTGCTTATCCAAATCATGAAAGCCCACAAAACTCTACATTGGCTATGCAAATATACATGTGTAGTAGAATTATAAAGTCATACAACAGCCCGAAATCCACAGACTTCTATTACTTCTGGGGAGAGTGAGAAGGAAAAGACATAACGGCTTGATATGGCTTCTGAAGTTTTCTCTTTCACAATTTGAAACAAGGTAATCGATGGTGAATTGCTAACACCTCTGGGAAAAGCGGGGAGATTTTATATAACTGGTGATGGCTGTTGGGTAATACTTTTCACTATACAGGTGAGAATGTATCAGAGGGCACAAAGAGGAGAAAGCTGAGTCAGGGAGGTAAGGGGACTAGAAGGCAGGAATTAATTTACCCACTGAAATAAAATGCAGATCAAGAAGAAATGCCTACAAGGACCAAATATATGCCACTGATGAAACAAATGCAAATCCCAATTCAACACAATGAAATAAAACCTAGTAACCCATCACATTCCTCCATACTCACTGTAGACCCTTTTAAATGACATTCAGTTCGGTGTTGATAAAGTTCATTTTTATCCTCCATTGAAATTTATTTGCCTTATTGCAAGGTTAATTTGCAGCACCTCCTTCTAAAACAATTATACTTATTTACCCACAGAATATATGGGTTCATTCAGAGAGATGCTGAATCTCTGCATAAGACAGCATCTGCTATATGTAGTGGAGGAATACAACGGGACTATGAACTCTTCCAGTTCATTTGTTCCACAAAACAAACTATTAGATGGCTATTACTTTTCTCATTTTACAGATAAAGAAATTGAGATTCAGAGAGCTTAAAATCTCCCCGCACAATCACCATGCTGACAAGTTAGCATGAGCCGTAATTCAAATTCAGTTTGCCAGACAGCTCCAAGACCCAGATCCTTTTCCCTATACACTAAGGGGTAGATCTTATGTCTAACCTCCTGCTCCCACTGTTCTATGTGGGTTATACTCACCATACACATTATATTTCCCCATAAAACTAGACATACAATAGAGTCAGACTAGAGGAACATACCTTTTGAACCAGTAATTGTTCTCATAGGAATGATTTAGAAAAAGATAATTAAAGTGGCAGCTCCAGATCAAGGAGGAAAAAAAAACAAATTAAAAAAATTAAAGAATAAACAAGTAAAATCCTCCACATCAGGGACTAAAACCACTTTACAGGTCAGGAAACATGTGCATACAGTAAGGAACCTACATAAATTCATATACTAGTTATGGTGGAGCCAGGATCTGAACCCAGGCAGTCCAATTCCCAAGCAGGCACGGTTTATGGTTATGCTATTGCTTTATAAGCCTTTTTGAGACCCACAGTGAGAAATACATTTTACCTCATGATCCTGTACACACACACAGAAGTGAAACAACTTCTACAACAGTGTTACCTGAATATGTAGCAAAAACTTTAAGATGCTGACTTACAGTCATGAATTCTCTCATGAACCACGATTTTAAAAACACGCAATGCTTAAGTGCTTCAAAAATACAGCATTTATTACAACAGAGTAGCAAGAAGAAAAAAACTAAGTGGAACTACATGTTTAGCAACCAAGCTGAATAATTACGAATATAAACAATTGCTATCTGAAGAAAACATGTTCATTGCTTGGAACCATGAACGATACTTACCTATGTAGGAAAAATTAAAAAAAAAAAAAAAAATAGGTTAAGGTAATAAGGATATGGGCAATTATGTTTTTATTTTTAATTTTATAAAACCTTTTTATTTTTCCTTACAAACTGGGGTAGTTATGAGACCCAATAATTGCTACCTTGCTTTTAATTTTCTTGGCAGCAAAGCAACTCACTGTGTTTCTTCTTGCTTATCTGTTCCAGATCACAGTCAAGTTTTCCAACTCGTTTTACCAAGCTAGGAAAATTTTTCATATGAAAAACAGTACAATCAAAACAAAACAAATGAAAATCTGTAACCAAATAACACCACGTTAAAGAACAAAACTTTGCAAACACATGCTAAAGCTACACACATTGAAGCGTTACAGAAATACGCTCCCTGGGTTCTCCCTTCCCCCATCTCTCTACAATGTGCCTTTGGGTCTCAGACTCTTGTCCCGGGAGTCCCTCTGAATCCACCTCAGATTTCAGGAAGATGGGGCTGGGCCACTCGGCTGAGGCCTGGCCCTGTTCTCCTCATCCGCCAAAGCCTCACAGTACTGTGCTGGCCAGTCCTTGGGGTCTTGATTATGGACTTTGGCCACAAACTTAAGAACTTTCATCTTGCTGGTTTCCAGGTTGGTTCGTGGGCCCCACTGGAATTCGTAGTCCACGGGGTCGGTGTGGGGTATCCGCCGGTACTCCAGGTAACGCTGTCGTACAAAATCCTCGGTGATGAGTTTCTTTGGATCTCCGAAAACCAAATGCTTCTTGGTAGGGTAGACCCCTAGCCGCCGCAGAAAGTCCCAGACTTCAGTCTCCTTGATGGTGTTGCCCTTCATAAAGATGAGCCCCAGGACGATCATCAGGAGGCCCGTGGTGGGCGTGCCTTGGTCGCCCCTCAACTCGGCATCCTCCTCCACGGGCTCCAGGGTGTTGATGAGGATGTAGGTGTTGCTCTTGGGTTCCAGTTCCACCAGCTTGTACCCGAAGACGTACTGGAGGCGCTCGGAGGCCAGTTTGAGGAGGTCGGGGAAGATGTCCTTGTAGTCCCCGACGACGTGCTTCTGCATGTCGGCCCGCTTGATCGGAATCTTCTTCTGGTCCTTAATCAGCAAGAACTGCACCAGCTCGGACACCTTCAGCTCCAACTGCTTCTGGGTCCTGGGCCCCACCGCGGGGGCGGCCAGAGAACGGCGGGCGCCCGGAGGCGAGGAGCCCCGCGCCCCCTGCGAGCCGCCCGGCCCGCGGGACGTGCTCGGGGCCTCCTCGGCAACGCAGTCTCCGCCGGCCCGCGAGGCCCCGGGGTCTCCGACCTTCTCGGCGTGGCCGCTAGAGCGGCCCCGGTTCCTCGGTTTTTGCAGCATGTCACCGGCGGCGGCCAGCGGGCTCCGGCGCAGACTCCAGCCAGCAAACACCGCAGCCTGCGGGCAGCCACGGCGGGAATTGTGGGTCGGCGCAACGCGCGGAAGCCAGGCCTTGGGCGGGGCCGCGGGAGGGGCGCGCGGCGTCGGCGGCGACTACGTGCTGCGTCACTAAGCTGCGCGCTGCGTCACTAAGCTGCGCCGTGCGTCGCGGCGGCTGGACGGTGCGCCTGCGCGGCTGCCGCGGGTACAGTGACAAACGGCGTTTTCTGTGCAGCCTTGCCGGTCCGGGCGGCGATTTTTAGTATAGCGAAGTGTTCTCACCAAACCAGGCAAGCGGAGAACGAGAACCAAAACCCCCTCAACAAGTGTGTGGCTAAATTCAGGACCACACAGGCTCAGGCAAGTTTTACAGACAGTATGATGCGTTTCTAAATCGGGAGCATTTGTAAAGATCTCAAAGATCAATGTGTGAGAAAAAATAAAAAATAAAAAGGTGAAGAGGAAGGTACGGCCGTGGAAGTAAAGTAAAAGCATTCATTTCTACACAAAACGTGGGAGGACATACGAAGCCCCGAGGGTTCTTCGTTTTCGTCCCTCTGCCCAGTTTCGTACCCTCCAACTCATTACCCCCAGTTCCTTTCCCTAATGCTCCGGGGAGTCTGTTAAAAACCAAAGTCTGCGGCAGGCTTTCCTCGCAAGCAGGACTTCGGTGTCACTATTTCCGTATTTACATTTTTTTACATTAAACTCTAGCTAGACAACTATGAGAAAACAACACAAAACGTGTCAATATTAAGTACATGTTGTAGCTTTGTCAAGTCAGTTTATCTTTTGGAAGACACCACTGCTTTGGGCTCACAACCACAATTTTAGCAGAAATGTGGAAATGCAGTAAGAGGAATGCTGCAAACAGAAACGTGCACTCTCAGATTACCATTTAATTTTGGGCATCACTGATCAAAAATTTCAATAACGTGGATCTCTTAAATTTCTTAATTCGTAATATATTAGCTTTAAAGAAAAGAGAATACTGGGGTACCATCCCTCATAATCTGTGATGTGTGCAGTCTCCGTATTTTAATTGTGCAACTCACATAGCCAAAATGAGTCATTTCATTAACTGAAACCATCAGCAATCTGCTGCCACTACTTCTACAGATCTTTGCAAGTCAATAAATAGAGAAGAAACACATTTGCTAAGAAGAAACTAAATTTCCCTGTCTTTTTAAAGCTACCCGGAAAGTGGATAAACTCTTCAAAGAACCAAATCAAATTGATTTCCTCTTTAATGCAGATATATTCAAAAGAAAGCAATTTCAAATATATTCAAAGAACACATTATCTGAATAATAGCATCAAACACAACCTTTTTTTTTGTTGTTGTTTTTTAAAGACAGGGTTTCACCATGTTGGCCAGGCTGGTCTTGAACTCCTGACCTCAGGTGATCCTCCCACCTCGGCCTCCCAAAGTGCTGAGATTACAGGCGCGATCCACTGTGCCCAGCCAAACACAGCCTTATTAAAATTTTGTTAAATGTTAGTAGCATAACACTTTTGTTTGTAATTCAGTAGGAAAATGCAATCTGATAATGGCACTGGAACTGCAATACTAAATGTAAAATCATATTCCATGAACTAATGCAAGTATGCTAGAATCTGGTATGCAATGAGTAGTAACTTACTGCTCCACACGAGATCCAACTATATCCTCAGGCATCAATCTTAATGACAAAGGCCTACTATAAAAAACAAATACATTATCAAGGCATTACTTTTTTTTTTTTTTTTTACAATGAGAAAATTCATCTGCTTCAGTTTCCTTCCAAATTAAAATTTGGACTTAGGTTCATAAAAGCTTCCTGCCATCTAGAATTCTGCAAAAATTGAGTCAGAAAAGTTCAGTGGCTAAGATATAAGGGGGAAGTGGAAAATTAGATAAAAGCTATTGTCAGCAATTGGGATGGTTTTTCAGTGCTCTTTCTTGCTAAGGTATTCATTCACTTACATTACCAAGCAGCCTACCAGTCAGGCTACCCCTGTGACTGTGAAAATCAGCAGTGTCCTTTAGCAGCACTCCTACCTAGATAGCAGACCGTCATTACTCAAAATAGTGGAGAAGAAATGTGAGTTTTTAAGTCTCAAAACACCTCTCTACGCTCTGTCCAGAGAAATGTAGGTGAGAAAATGCAGCCATAAAATAAGAGTATTAGACTGAAGTTTAGGCACTGCATGGAGAAGTCATCCAGACCCACATTCCACCTTGGATTGATACTGGAAGCCATAGATGTTTGGGGAGAAATTGTGGTGATAACAATACTAACATTATTAACAATAAATGTAACTGACAACAGCCAATGATTATATAGTAGTTCCTGCTCCCTCTCCGTATCTGCAGTTTCACTTTCTGTGGTTTCAGTTACCTGCAGTCAACCACAGTCCAAAACTATTAAGATATTTTTGGAGAGAAACCACAATATAACTTATTATACCATGTTGTTATAACTGCTGTACTTTACTGTTAGTGTCAACTGAAGGATGATGAGGTTCATCAAGTTGGAAAGAAGAGCTTTAATTCTCATAAAGGGTTGCAGTCTGCAGGGCTGCCATTCCAACAGGCTGGGAAGCACAACCTCATGCCAGAAGCCAGAAACAGACACTTCAAGGGAGGGGAACAAGAAGCAGGAATCTATGCAGAGTGGAGTGGCCAAATACACAGATTTAATAAGCTATAGGAGGAGTCATGAATATTTATGCAAAGAGAAAGGTGCACATGCGCAATTGCATGGGACCCATGTTCCAAAATTGGCAGTGTTCCAGGGTAGGAGTTTTCGGCGCTCTGATATCAAAGGGTGAAGCAGGGGACATGAAAACCCTGACTGCGTATCTTCCATAGACTGGCCACAACTACTCCACGGTTGGTGGTCTTTTATCAAGAACTGGTCAGTTGTGCCAAAACGGCAAAAGGGAGCGGCAGCATCAGGTCGTGATACCAGTGGCAGAGTCTTTTGAAAGGGCTGATTTCTGTTTAGCCCTTAGGGAAGAAAGACTATTGGCAGTTAGAGGGGAAGAAGGTTTTCAAGGTTATTCTGGGGTCCCCTTGGCCAAGATGGGAGTCTGTCTCTTCAGCTGGAGGGCTTAAGATTTCATTTTATTTCTCATTCATTATTGTTAATCTCTGCTGTAACTAATTTCTAAATTAAACTTTTTTGAGGTGGAATCTCACTCTGTCGCCCAGGCTGGAGTGCAGTGTCGCCATCTTGGCTCACTACAACCTCTGCCTCCCGAGTTCAAGCAATCCTCCCATCTCAGCCTCCCGAGTAGCTAGGATTACAGGTGTGTGTCACCAGGCCTCTTTTTTTTTTTTTTTTTTTTTTTTTTTTTTTTTTTTGAGATGTAGTCTTGCTCTGTCACCAGGCTAGAGTGCAGTGATGTAATCTCCACTCATTGCAGCCTCTGCCTCCTGAAGTCAAGCAATTCTCCTGTGTCAGCCTCCTGAGTAGCTGGTACTACAGGCAGGAACCACCACACCCAGCTAATTTTTGTATTTTTAGTAGAGACAGAGTTTCACCATGTTGGCCAAGATGGTCTTGATCTCTTGACCTTGTGATCCGCCCTCCTCAGCCTCCCAAAGTGCTGGGATTACAGGCATGAGCCACCGCACTTGGCCTAAATTAAACTTTATCATAGGTATGTGTGCTGATTAATACTGAGTGTCAACTTGATTGGATTGATGGATTAAAGTATTGTTCCTGGGTGTGTCTGTGAGGGTGTTGCCAAAGGAGATTAACATTTGAGTCAGTGGACTAGAGAGGCAGACCCACTCTCAATCTGGGTGGGCACCATCTAATCAGCTGCCAGATTAGCTAGAATAAGGCAGGCAGAAGAATGTGGAAGGTCTTGACTTGCTGAGTCTTCTGGTCATCATCTTTCTCCCATGCTGGATGCTTCCTGCCCTTGAACATCGGACTCCAAGCTCTTCAGCTTTTGGACTCTTGGACTTATATCAGTGGTTTGCCAGGGTCTCAAGGCCTTCAGCCACAGATGGAAGGCTGCACTGTTGGCCCCCTTACTTTTGAGGTTTTGGGACTCAGGCTGGCTTCCTAGCTCCTCAGCTTGCAGATGGCCTATTGTCGAGCTTCACCTTGTGATCATGTGAGTCAATCCTCCTTAATAAACTCACCTTCATATATGTATCTATCCTATTAATTCTGTCCTCTAGAGAACCCTGACTAATACAGTATGTGTCTATATATAGGGGAAAATGTGTATTTAGGGTTTCATGCTGTCCACGATTTCAGGCCTCCACTGAGGGTCCTGGAACACATCCTCCACAGAGAAGGGGGTCCAATTACACAAAGTGAATGGTGGGTCAGACGTTATTCTAGGTGGCTTACAGGTGTGACTTCACTTAATCCCCACAACAAACCTAGGAGGCATGTGCACTTACTATGTTTCTCTTCTCACAAATAAACAGGCACAGGAGAAGATGATTAAGTTTTGAGGTTCTACAGCAGTAAGTGATAGATCTGGGATCTGAACAAAGCCAATCTGCCTCCAGAGACTGGGCTTTTAACTGTACACTGATTCAGAGCACACAGAGAGATGGTGTCCTTGAAAAAGTAAGGGCTTTGGGATCAGATGAACTAAGATGAGAAAGCTGTATGACGCTGGGAAAGCTACTGATACACCTCCAAGTCTAAGTCTCCAAGTCAACAAAATGAGTGCTAATCCTGGCCTCAAGGGATTAAGAAAGATGGGTTTACCAAGTACCGAGCACAGGGCCTGGCAGGGTAGTTGATAAGAGTTTGCTTCGTTCCAGGGATTTCTGTTCAGGAAAATATTTGAGGACTACACATAGTTGTGTTTACTGTAGGGGAGGCAAAGCCTTACCTCCACCCTCGAAGTCCCAGCTGGACCTCAGACTTAAATTGACATACAACAGATTAACAGGAGAAAAGCATTCAAATTTCATAAAAGTTTTACATGACATAGGAGCCCTCATTAGGGAAACGAAGACCCAAAGAAGCGGCAAAACCTGCATGCTTTTATATTTGGTCGAACAAAGAGAGGTAATTGTGGGAAAAGTAAATTATGTGAGGAGGATAAAGGGAGAAAATTATTTTCACACAGTTGTTGG